TCACCAAAAAAAATTACCAGGTCACAACTCCAAACCCACTGAAAAAATTACAAGAGAAAAGCTCCAAGCTTGTCGAACGAAATGCCAGAGAACAGCTCCAAATCTGGCGAATTACTAGAGAAAGCTCCAAACCCGGTGAAGAAACTAAGCCAAATTAGAGTAGGTTTCGTGATGAAGAACTACTAAAGAATAGCTTCAAACCCAGTGAAGAAAATTACCAGAGAACAGTTTCAAAATTTTCAAGAAACCTACCAGAGAACAACTCCAAATCCGGTGAAGAAAATTACAAGGGAAAATCTCCAAACCCGGCAAAGAAACTAGAAGCTGAAGCTGAATTAGAGTAGGTTTCTTAGTAGAAAACTACCAGATAATAGCTCCAAACCGGTAAAGAAAATTTCACCAAAATTTCTAAGAAACCTATCAGGAAATAGCTCCAAACCCAGCGAAGAAAATTATCAGAGATCAGAAACCTACCAGAGAACAGTTCCAAATCTGGCGAAGAAATAGCTAGAGAAAGCTCCAAACCCGGCAAAGAAAATTACCAAAAAAAAGCCCAAACCTGGTGAAGAGGCTAGAAACTAAACTGAATTAGAGTAGGTTTTGTGGTAGAAAACTACTCCATACCTAGCTAAGAGAACAGCTCCAAACCCGGCGAAGAAAATTATGAAAGAAACCTGGCGAAGAAAATAGAAGCTGAAGCTGAATTAGAGTAGGTTTCTTAGTAGAAAACTACTAGATAATAGCTCCAAACCAGTGAAAAAATTTTACCAAAATTTCTAAGAAAGCTATCAAGAAATAGCTCCAAACCCAGCAAAGAAAAGTATCAGAGATCAGAGATCTACCAGAGAACAGTTCCAAATCCGGCGAAGAAATTGCTAGAGGAAGCTCCAAACCCGGCGAAGAAAATTACCAAAAAAAAGCCCCAAACCTGGTGAAGAGGCTAGAAATTAAACTGAATTAGAGTAGGTTTTGTGGTAGAAAACTACTCCAAACCCAGCGAAGAGAACAGCTCCAAACCCAGAAAGAAAATAGAAGCTGAAGCCGAATTAGAGTAAGTTTCTTAGTAGAAAACTATCAGATAACAGCTCCAAACCCGGTGAGAAAAATTTTCATACCTGCGAAAAAAATTACCAGAGGACAACTCCAAACCCAGCGAAGAAAATAATCAAAGAACAGCTCCAAGCCTAATAAAGAAACTTAATAGAAGCCGAGGCTGAAACAAAGTAGGTTTCTTAGTAGAAAACTACAGAGAACAGCTTCAAAATGCCAAAGAGAACTACCAGAAAATATCCAAATACCTAAGAAACCTACTAGTGAACAGCTTCAAAACATTTAAAGGGAACTGCTGAAGAACAACTTCAAAATAGCGAAGAGAACAATATGAAATTCTGAAAAGAGCTCTTCAACGTTTTGGACTCTCTCGGATAGATTTGCCAGAAAACTACCAGAGAACAGCTCCAAAATATCAAAGAGATTTCTAAAAACGCTTAAAAAATTAAAGCAAAAAAATTAACAAACCGATTTACAATTTAAAAAAAAAAATAA